CCAGTTCCTCCCTCTCAGTCCTAGGAAGGAGGCACAGGCAAACTACTTTGGAAAAAACCTTGCCAAGAAAACTGCAGAGACTTGTCCAGGCAGTCAGTCTCTGAGAATAGGACACGATTGAACGGATTAAAAAAAAAACTCTATAGCATATAATATATGAATTGTTTGCAAATCTTGAGTGTTGCTGGCATCTAAAATTTAGAATTTGTCTCTTCAAAAGCAACAACTGTGGAAGGATCCAAACTCTGCTTGCAGCTAAGAGTGTTTTATGTCCAGCTGCAAGGCTATTTCCCCAATAGGGACTTGTGGCATCTGCTAGGACATGCTGGCTGGGGAATTCTGGGAGTTGAAACCCACACATCTTAAAGTTGCCAAGGTTGAGAAACGCTGTTCTGGGATCATCCAACTACCATTGTGGTGCTATTAAACAGGGAGAACATCAATACAAAAGGAGTGGGGCTTTGACTGTGTGGTAACCACTCCATCATGACTTTTTTGATCCTCCGCTGGTACCTCTGTTCTAAGGTTAATTCATCTGTGTTTGTAGTATTTGAGAAGGGCTGGAGCAGAAAAAGGAAGACTTGAACTTGCTGCATTTCCAAGCAAACATTTCTGCTCCTACAGAATCTATTATTTCAGCTCTCCAGCTTCTGGAAGAGAACCCCAATAATGAACACTGAATCACAGACCCAAGGCACTGTTTGTCCCTCATAAGTTGTGACTGGAAAACCTTGGTAATATCATTCACTCTGAGTAGCACCCTAAGAGTGGTATGGGGCCATTTAGCTTGAGGTTAAACCACCATCTGCTGAGGTTTCATACAGATTCCTACACCAAACAGAAGGTGGGATTGATGACCTTTTCTACCTCTATGATTCCATTACTGTAAAATAGTTTTTGTAAACCTCACTGCCAGTTATGCCCCATCCTATACTTCTGTATTTGAATTCTGTTTCTTAAGTGAAGAATTTTGCACTTTTTCCTTTAAACCTCATTATATCATTTTCTACCATTTTCTTAACCTAGCAAGTTTGTTTTGAAATTTATTTCCAAATTCTAAGGTATTAGCTGTTCCACCCAACTTGGTGTCATATGCAGATTTGAGAAGCATTCCCTCCACTGTCTCCTCCAAGTCATTGACACAAATGTTAAAGAATACAGGCCCAAAGCTGAGCTCGTGACACCACACTTGATGTCTTCCTTTGGTTTAATAAGGATATTTTGCAACTACATCTTTTTATTTTTATATGCACACACACACATACACATACACACACACACTTATTTCAATAAACTTATTTAGTGCGCTGGGGCTGAACTAGGCCAGATTCATAAATTGAAGACTTGATGTCTTCCTTTGGTTTAATAAGGATATTTTGCAACTACATCTTTTTATTTTTATATGCACACACACACATACACATACACACACACACTTATTTCAATAAACTTATTTAGTGCGCTGGGGCTGAACTAGGCCAGATTCATAAATTGAAGACTTGATGTCTTCCTTTGGTTTAATAAGGATATTTCACAACTATATCTTATTTAAATAAATACATGAACAAATAAATAAATAAATAACACATTATTTCAATAAACTTATTTAGTGCGCTGGGGCTGAACTAGGCCAGATTCATAAATTGAAGACTTTATAACTGCATCTTTTATTTTTTTCAAAATACTTTGAGACCACAGGGAGTATGTAATAAATTCTCATTGCCAAAATCCTATTCCATAGTCACATTGTTTTTAAATGAATATTGAAGAGAAGGGAGAACTAATGTTTTACCTCTGACATTTTGAATTTGGCCCAAAGTATCTTAATTATTTGGAGGTATCATCTGAGTTATCAAATGATAATTTTCATATTTTTTAAAAAGGTATGCTGCCTTTGATGAAATATTTATCAAATTTGGGGTTTCTATATCACTGTGTATTATAAGTAGTTCAATAATCCTCTTAAAGTTGGAGGTCCAAAAATTCTCCAAATTCATGGACAATTTAAAAAAAATGTCCTGGAAACTTTGGTCAGTACAACTGAGTACTAAGTTATAGTCAGCTGAGACTACAACCATATATTTATTTTGGATGAAACTACTAAGGGACTTTCAGAAAGAGTACAGTAGGTTTCTGTGAGATAGAGGAAACTAGATTTACATAGATATTTTCTTGATTATAATTGGCCATGATTGCTTAAAGTGTTGCATCCATATTTAATGAGTAGCCCCATTAAAACAATGACAGTGTAGTTTCCTACTTTAAATATGTCTACTTGGGAACTGCAAGTTAAAGGCAATGAACATGAAATATTGCCCTCACAACTGCAGCTCCTGTTTGCCTCTTGCTGGCTGAGAACTTCCTCTAGATCAACACTGGGAAAAGCAGCAATGGGGCTAAAGGAGAATCAGGATCAGCAGTGAACCTCCACTGGTGTGAGATTTCCAGAGGGACAACGCTGACCCTGTGGGTACCGCTGTCTGGTGTCTCGGAATAGGATGCGAAGGATTTAGCTATATATGACTTTTGCAAATTGACCATTTTGGTTAAGCTCGTTTAGAGTCCTAGTTATGATACAAACTGTGGTGAAGATGAGTATGCAGTTTGTTTGACAAAACAGCTAATCCTCCTTGTGAGAGTCAGTCACTGCCAGCTCCCTTCCTGCAGAAAGGAAGCCCGGATAGCATGGCCAAGGCTTGACTCTTCTCACATCTCAAGATCAAAGAGCAGCACAAACTGGCATGCTGGAGCAAGCCAAGTATAGAAGGTAGAGCTGTGGGGGGTACCTGGCCTCTGCTTTTGTACCCTCCCTCCAATGTAACAAAACAGCTGCTTTGAGATTGGTAGAAGATGCTTCTTAATCATCAGAATAAAGTCTGCTGGAGCTTTTGTAGGCAAGAGGAAGAATCATACCAGGCCTGAGAGACTTTGTTGCCTACTTACTTGGAAAATGAAAACCAAAACAAAACACTACTACATTTGAGAGATGGTAACTCATGCCTTATCTTACAAATTCCTGCAGTTTGCTCTCTTGAGCACCCACCCTTGCAGATCCCAAATTTCCAACGGGCACAGAAGCACAGCTACCTAGCTACAGACTGGTATTAACTGGTTCATAGAATAACACCTATTTTGTGGGAATGATACTCATTGTCAGCAGGCTTCCAGGCATAATTCAAGAATGCTGGTGATCACCTAATTTGTCACCTTTAGGACTATCTATTCTAGATGGAATTTGCCTGCCCCCTGCAGTCTAGGTAGGATGGGGTGATACAGATACCCACTCCCAAGGGATAAAGGAGGCAGCAGCCCCCTTACTGTGGAATTCTCTGTCCTCCGAGGTCAGGATGGCTCCCATCATTTTGTCATTTAGGAAGGTGAAGAGGCCTTTGTCATAGGTCTTTCTAAATGGAAAGTCCTCAGTAGTTGACATCAGTGGAAGGTATTTAATTTTTTTTACCAGAGTCTAAGGAGTAGGTAGTATACAAACTGGTGTAATGCACACACACATTCCAATAGGAAAAGTGCAATTTCTTTCCAATCCATCTGATGTTATTAACAAAGGAATCAGTGTTGAAAATAATACATCACATCATAACAGTAAGGAATATGACCCTGACTGGTTAATTATGTAGTATTCAAGAACATATTATTTGGTGAGCTAAAACATAAGCGTATCTGCCAGCTTTCCTGAAGTCCAGGAAAATACTATATCTGGCAGTATCCCACCAAAGGCCTTTTGCCACTGGTTGTCCTGGTGGGTGTGATCAATAAAAACCCCCCACCCATTTCCTAAATCAAAGTAATGAGGAGATCCCATTCTATTTCTTCTAGTCCTGCAGGACACACATCACCGTTGCCATTTGTTCTGGGCTGGTGTATGTATCTTCAAAGCATGATGCTGAAGCTATTTTATTTTCTGAAAAGGCCAATGGAACTCATTTGGAAGCCCAAAGGCAATGTTGTAAATAAAGATGGTGCTAGAAGCCGGTGCTTTGTTTTATAACTTAAAATAATATTAAGGAAAACTGAGTCAGGTCAGGCATGGGTTCTGGTGTGCCAAGGTAGGTGTCCATAGGCTCACTGAAGGTGAACAACAGTTGTGAAAATCAATATACTAGTATCCAAGGTTAGTATTTTTTTTTTTTTTAAATATTTGGACCTCTCTCAAAAGTGAGGTTTTACATGGTCCTGTTGCCCCACCTGTGAGCCCTCCTGGCCATTCTGCTGAGTAAAGCAAAACTATTTACAGAGTCGTTTTAAAATACTTATCCCAACATTTATACTAATCCTACTGTTGTGGAACATACACATTGAATAGAGTACTGTACACATAACAATTTTTAAAAAATGGGTATTTCACTATTTCAGGCTAGATCAAGACAATATATATAAGTAGTCTTAAAAAGTAAACATGGCTTTGGAGTATCGTGCAGCAAACCTGACCTTCATGTGGAATTGCTTATTGTGGCCAAAAAAGACCCCTTAGTATTTTACAAACCCTTTCCTTTCTGAAACCTGTATAAAAGACAGAAAATGTTATGTTGATGAAATTGAGTTCACCGGAAAAAACCAAAGCTCCTATGAAAACTGAAATATAAAGGGAGGGGAAAAAAAAGTCCAGGAGGCATTGGTATACCTAAACCATGAACAATATTTTGTTTGGAACTTCCCAGCTCTAGATATGGAAACATTAAACTTTGTTCTCAAGAGGTGCTGAAGCAAAAGGAATACTAGCCAGAAGTATAACAGTATGTTTGTAAAGTATATACTTTGAATAACGAGCAGTGATAAAAGTTTTTCACAATATGTCAAAGACAAAAAAAGGAAAAGGAAAAAGAAAAAAGGGGGAGAGAAACAGCATTTAACAAAAAATACAATGACTTTACAACTTTTTCATATAAAAATCCATTCCTATCTTATATTGTCAAAAGGTGTGAAATTGAGAAGGCAACTAGCAAACATAAATAACAATACTAAGCAATCACAAGCAGTATACACACATTGAAGGTGACATTTTAATCACTTCGGATATTTGCTGGTTGAACAATTAACAGGTAATGGATGGGGCAAGCCTTAGAAATGCTAGGAGATTATCTGTTAACAGTCTTCTCTGTACACAAGAAAAATACACATGCCTTCTTAACAGCCAAGAAAAACTGCAATTTATTAAGTTTCAAAGAATCTTCGTACTCTTGAAAGCAACTTCTGGTGCATGTTTTTAACAATCACATTCTATGAGGAGAAATAACATTAAAAGCCACAAACTTTTAAAAACTTTTCATCTCAGAGTTACAGACATCTTGAATTCAAAATTAAAGGCAAAACATTAAAATAAAATAAAAAATAAAAATTCAACAGGAATTATTTTAAAAATGTCCATCTCCAATTTTAAATGATTGTGAGTTCTTTTTCTACAATTCATTACTAAACTTTAGCATGGAAAATTGTATTGACTATTTCAATCCGCACATAGGCACATATGTATTTTATATATAAATATAATATGTGTGTGTGTGTGTGTGTTAAAAGAGAGATATATACACAATACATATGTAGAGTGCGTGTAATGAGAATGAGATGCAATCACTCTGAGAAAAGGGTATTCAGCTAAATACACTATGAAAACTTGAGAAAACACAAGTCTGGAACCCAATCTGTGCATAGTTCATGATCCTCTAAAAAACCAGCTTTTGTTGATTTGCAATTTTGCAGGACCCTTTTTAATTCGACAAAACCATTAAAAAGCTAACCTTTAACAAAACAAAATGTAATGCACAAGTTTCCTGATCCAAGCAGTCAGGGAGCACAAATGTTCATATAATTTCTAAAAACATACTCAAAGGGTATGTTATTCCATTGTCTTTCTTCCTTTCAAAACAATCAAAAACATTGATCATTTTTAAACATAAAGCAATTTTTAATATATAAAGCACTCTTCAAACATCTATTTCTTTTGAGTCCATTATTTGGTAAATATGTAACTGCTACACATTAGATTAGGTATTTTTCTTCTTCTCTTACTGTCTTTTTTATTTTGTTTTTGTATTCTTTTTTTAATAATATCTTCAGTGCTAGGAGTTGGGTTTAAAAAATACATGAAATGGTGTGGAGTTGCTCCTCGGGAAACCCGGCTTTCCTGAGACATCTTCCACCATGTGCAAGATAGTGATCACAATATTTTTCGCCACTCTGACGAAGATGAGGGGAAAAAAAAAAAAAAGAGTACACAGCAATGGCCAAAGAAAAGGATCAACAACAACAACAGTAACAACAACAGTAACAACAACAAACACTGTTCAATCCCAGAGCTCTGAAGTAGCATATCTTCATTCTGAAAATAGGTTTCTTTATGATGGAAGTCTTTTTTTTTTCTTTTTTTTTCAATTCCTTTTTTTATTTTAAAGTTTGAAGGAGGAAAAAAAAAAGGTTTGTAAACAGGTGGGAGCTGAAATCGTAGGCTCCTCCAAAAGCAGTCAAAACCTATGTCCAAGTGCTTGTTTCTGTTCCGGCTTGCAGGGAACCATCCACTCTTTACAAGTATTTATGGCCACAGTTCAACAAGAGTTTTTTTTTTCCTTTTTTTTTTTAAACTTTATATTCCGAATGGGAAAAAAATGGTGCAATACTCTGGTAATTATTTTCTTGCATTAGTCCACAATAAAAAGCTGCTAAAGGTAGATATACATATTATTCTCCAGAGATACACACTGTAAGTTTTTAAAATGCGGTAAGAGTCCTTGAGTAAACATTTACACGTGAATTGTCGCCAGCCCCTCCTATCAGTTTTTTTTTTAATTTTTCTTTTAAAAAAAAACAAGTAGGATTAGCTACAAGAAGGGCTGTGGACACTCAGTGCAAAGTTAGAAGCTAATAACAATTAAACATTTGACCAATAAGCAAATCAAAAGCATATACTGAAAAAGAAGAAAAGAAAAAAGGTCACACAATTTGTTAAGTTGTACACCTGGCACACACACACATCCATACGTTCACACATCAGTTCAATTTTTCCCCAATGCATACACGTAAGAAAGAACCAAAAAAAAAAAAAATTCCTAGAGCCTGTTCTTTTGTTTTCTGATGCCAACCTGGAAGTGTAATAATAGAAAGTGTTCACATTTTGTTATTGGCCTGCTGGATTCAAGTATAATTGCATGTTTGATATGTTAATTTTTCTCTTTCTTTCTTTCTTTCTTTCTTTCTTTCTTTCTTTCTTTCTTTCTTTTTTCTTTCTTTTTTTTTTTTAAAAACTTTGAACTATTTGGGGGGAGAATTAAAAAAAAATGACACAAAAAGTAATGAAACAAGTGTAATGTGCATAGGCAGGACCCACGGGAGTAGTGGACCTGGATATTCCACCCCACCTCTCAATCCAAGTCATCCAGCCAAGGGGGTTAAGATTTGTTCCCCAATGCTGCTGACAGGCTGGTCGAATGCCACCCCCACTGATTACTGGATCCGCCTCTGGTAATGTGCATAATTATCACAGGCTCATTTTAAATAGGCTTTCTCACCTCCCCTTCATCCCCCCCCCAACTTCCCCAAGTTGATAAAATAACCCTTTCCAGCCCAAATTCTGAAAAGTGCCCTTCATGATAGAACTAGTCTAAGCAGCTTGTATACGTCTTTAAAAACACCATACAAACATAAAAATAAAATTAAAAAGCTGTTGGAAAAAAACCCACACAAAATCTATCATTAGCACATGACACTGACCAAAGGGAGCCCATACTGTTATGCAAACAGTTCACAAGGACTCCAGCAGAGTTTCATAGTCGAGATTAGACAGAGGTACTAAAAAAAGGGCTGCCAGTCTGATCTATTAAAGCTGGATCCTTCGTGATGCCCTGGACTGGAAAGGGTTACTGTTATTTTTTTCCTTTAGTGCTGATGATTGTTACTTCCATTTTGTTTTTCTGGCGTCCTAGATGGACTCCCCGCTGAGAAGGTCCCCTGGGAGCAGAGTATTCAAAGGCGTTGGGCTTCCGATAACCCTGCCGTCATCGGTGCTGGGGGGACCCCAAAGGCTGCTTGAATACTGAGGGACCCCACCCCAGAGCAGATCGCTGCTCCCTTTCCCACCAAGGCAGGGGGTATTCCAGTGGCCTGCATCATTGCGCACCATTCCATGAGAACTGCTTGTGGAGCCCAAACGTGTCTGAGTGGTTCCAGTGTTGGACTGCCAACTGGAAGTGGGGGGCAGTGGCTGGCCTTGTGCTAAAAAACGGTTCACTTCCTCTTCTCCAGCGAACTCAGCCAAGATGGTAGTGTTCCCCAAAACGCACCTGAAAACAGAGAGAAAACTCAATGGGAAACTGCTGAGGCACACTTTCCAGGGCCCACATATTTATTCTGACTCCAATATATGCATTCCCTTAAATGTCAAATATTATTCAAGAGCTAGATCATTCTTTGAAAAATAATTGCAAATATTACAGTGGCAAACCTGACCAAGAGGCTTTGAATTTAATATGGGATGTAACATTGCAGACATCTAGATTGATATCTGAGGATAATAGGGAAGTCTTAAGCAGAAACAATCTTGGTTTAGTCTTTTTTTATAGGATTGTAAAGGTGACTGGTCACATAATGCCCTGTCCCTCTATACTTCATCCTTCTTTGTTCACTATTCAGACCTCCTTTTTCTTCTCTAAGGCAATAATTAAGTATATCGCAAGCCAAGTAAATACACCACCCTTGAAAAACAGTAAATACTGAATAAAATGACATACATATGCAGAGACTTCTGAGCCTTTGCTGCTTCTTCCTTGGAACTGTATCGGACCACAGCATTCCCTTGAGTCAGGTTCAGATGGAATGTAATAAGAGGACCATGTTGCAAGCATAGAGTACGCAGTGTAGAGCCATCAATCTAATTGGGGAAAGCAAAAAAATATGTGAGGGATTTCTCCCTCCTCCCCCCGCCCCAGTGGCATTACTATTTTGACAAACAGAAGGTAGCTCTTTAATAAAAGAGTCAAAACTGTATCATAAAAAATATAAATAAAATGCTGTAGATTCCTCCCAGAGATTTAATGTATTGATGAAACAACACCTCCATCTTCCTCTCTCCCTGCCTGAACAGGCATATCTACAACTGAGCTATTTCTGGAGCTTCCCTTCAGGGACAGGCTACTTTTGTTCAAGCTCTGTCTTCTGTAGATTAGAACCCTACCACTCCCAGTTGGTGAAAACCTCCAGAGAAGTGATGGGAAGTTGGGTTAGAGCTCTGATGAATGCATCATTGAGGGATGGAATGGTACCACCAGCCTTGAAATAGGCATCGGCGTGTTTCCTGTTCAAGAAGCCACCATTTGACCCAGATAGTTTGGAAATCTATCAACAATTTCTAAACTTCCTTTTATTATGCAGGTTGTTGAGAAGGCAGTCGGGCTGCAGTTGCAGAGGGCCCTGGAAGAAACAGATTATCTGGACTTTTTTAGTTGAGTAAACTCTTTCAGGCTAGGGTACTGTATTGAGAACACATTGATTGCTCTTGTTGATGATGTGTGGAGAACCAGGATTATGTAACATTCTTTATCCTCCTTGATTTCTCAACTGTGTTCAATACCACTGATCATGATATTGTTCTGGACCATCTCTGGGAGTTGGGAGTGGGAAGCAAGTGTTACTGTAGTTCTCCTTTCCCTGAAGCCAGTTCTAGTTGGTGGTGGTAGGAGGGAAGAGTTCAAGCCAGAAGGTGCTACAGTGTTGGGACTTGCAGGGGTCAACTCTCTTTCCTCTACTCTTTTACAGGTGCATAAAGCCACTGTGAGAGGTCATATATTGACATGGAGTCAGGTAGCATCAGTACACTGATGATATTCATTTCTTTATTAAGGCACTGGACTGAATAGATGTGGTCAAAGTGCTGTCCCAATCCCTTGAGGATGTTAGGGTCTGGATGGGGAGGAACAAACTCAGTCTCCATCTCCACAAGGCAGACTGTGGAGTGAGTTCAGAGGCCATCTGTGTCTGGGAATACTCCATTTTTGGTTCTAGACAGAACTGAGCTCCCCATTTTTTAACTGGTTCAGCATCTGAAGATCTTCCTTTATTCATTCATTCATTCATTCATTCATTCATTCATTCATTCATTCATTCATTCATTCATTCATTTAATCAAATTTCTCCCCCGCCCATTTCCCCCCAATGGG